ATATTATATATTATCCTAGTTAACACTACTTTTTTAACGCTATAACGCATAAAATAAATTCTTTTAAAAATACTAATATATATCTTATACCTTTATATACCCCTACTAATATTATTATAGTAATTATAGCTATATATAATAGCTACTCTCTCTAAAAAGCTACTAAAGACTAAGGTATATTATATATAACCCTATAATAACGTATTAATAGTAGTAAGATAATAGTAGAGGTAAAAGCTACTTAATAACGCTTTAGCTTTAAATAGGAGGCTTTTTTAACTACTTAGATCTTTACGTAAAGTACTTTAAGCTATATACCTAACTATAAGTATATCTATCTCTTTATAATATAGATTATATATACTAGTAGTAATATATATCCTTTTAGTATATACTAAATAGAAGCTTTCTTATATTACTACTTATCTATTAAAACTCTAAAAGTATATAAGATTAATACTTAATATATAAAAGATATTATAGTTAAAGATATAAAAGAGTTCTTTATAATACTTAATCTTCTAGAGGTTAAAATTATCCCTATAAGCTTATAATATAATATAGATAAAATAGGTATTATAGAGGGGGTTTAGTATAATAATTTAGTATTAAAATATTCTAAGAAGCTTTCTATATTTATTTAAAGCTCTAATAACTATATTTAGATATTTATAGTTAAATATATTAATACTAATAGTAATTATCTCTTACTTTTAGTTATCTTTAAGAATAAGATAGTTTAGTACTAATAGTTCCCTAAAGATCTCTTAAAATTTAACTTATAGTACTTTATATTAACTATAAATAGTTAGATATCTAATAATATTAGTATTAACTAATTAAAGAATATATTTATACTAAAGATAGTAATAGAGGTAAAAAGATTATATTCTAAATATCTACTTATTATAAATAGCTATAAAAACTATATTAGTAATAACTTTATATAGAAATATTATATTAATAATATTTATTTAGCTTACTTATTTACTTATTTATTTTATATTATATAGCTCCTTAATATATTAATATTTATACCTCTAAAGTAGTTCTATAAAACCTATTTTATAGAATAAAACTACTTACTTAACTCTATACTAATTAGTAAATAGAACTTCTTATAATATTATTTATATATATATTAAGATACTTTATAACTATATATTATTAAATTAAAATAGAAAATAATAAAGATATAACTTATTAATATTATAAAGTTTCTTATAAACTAGTTTATTTATATCTCTACTTTAACTAACGTTCTATAAGTATTAGTATAGTATTTAAGACCTATAAATAATAAATAAACCTCTTAAAGTATTATAATTAAAATACTAAAGAACTTAGCTAATTTATATTAGATATAATAGCTTTTTAGTAATAAGTTAAAGTTAATAATATAGAGAGATTATCCTATTAATTTTATAATATAGATCTTCTTTTTTAAAAAGTTAGGGAAAACTTTAGACCTTAATAATATAGCTATAGTAAATAACTAATAAGTTATCTAATCTCTAGAAGTTTAGCTAAAGAAGTATAAGCTTATTAAACGTAGTAAAGTTAAGTTAAAGCTAAATATACACTTTATAGTAATTAAAGATATTTAGAAGAAGAAATAGGAGGTATAAAACTATCTTACTAAGTTAGAAATAATATTAATTAATAGTAAATCTCCTAATAATAAAGAGAGTATAAAATTATATATTATTATTATAAAACTATAGAGAAATTATATAGAACGTAAAAATATAATTATAGCGTTAGTAGGTTAAAAGCATGTAAAAGTGGTGATCTGAGGTGGGGGGTGATCCATAGCTTAGGTGGGGTTCTTACGTCACTTGGCTGGTCCACACCATCTTGCGCGGTCGCGAGAGCCAAGCGCTTGGCGACTCCACCACAATGATTGTGATTGTGTCAGACCATGCGGAGAACAAAAATCGAGGACGACCAAGAACTGGAATTTGGGCCAGTTGCTTGGTGATGGAGGGCGAAGAATCTTGAGATCAAAGAAACGAACAGCCGCCGGGAGCAATATTCTGTGTGAGGCGGCCGGGATGGTGGTCGCGCGGTAGGCGGGAGGTGAAGGTGATTGGCAATGCACGTCGAGCCGGCGACCGTCGGGCGGCTCAAATGAGGGAAACCGACAGCTGGGATCAGCAATTGCGCTTGGATCGTCGACACGCCCCTCCGTATTCCGAATCCCCTCAATAACGTCTGTGTGACCTGGAGCAGTTGGTCGCTTGGTTCGAATCGTAGAAGCAGCTCAAAATTTCCGTGCGTCTGGTCCGAATTGGAGCGTCATTAGTGGTCAATTGGTGCCGTGTGTCGTCGGGGTCCCGTATGCGGCGCCTGCGACATGGCATGATGGCATCTGGATAAAATCGAAAACCCAGAGTCTGGAATGTCTAGCCCGCGCCCCAGCAACCGTCATCCCACGTTGGAGCGAATCCAACGTTGTTGAGTCGTAGGACAAGACTTGCCAAGGGTACGCCAAGTAGCCAAGTAGAGCCGGCGCAGGCAAAGTCGCAGCGGTGGGTGGCCATCATGTCCATACGAGGCCGCACGCGCAGCGACGAGCGAGGGGTCGTGTGCGTCGTATTTTCTAGGGATTCGACACTTGATCCGTAACTTGCGCGGGGCATGGCAGGAATCCGCGGGTAATGAAGGAAGTCGGCGATAATCGAGATAGTCATCGCCGTCAACCGGAAGGCGGTTTCTTTTTCGTCGAACCACCCCCGGAATCACGGCGGTGCCCGTCGGTAGTTGTCACCCGGAGCTGTGAAATTTCTGCCCACCATGTGCTTCCTGCTTCGCCCGGCTGCCCAGGCCCCAGGAGTTCGTCGCGTTGAACTTGTGAATCCCGACCGGGTTGCGGTCGCGCGTATGACAGCGTGGTGTGTTGAGGTGAGGTCTTGGCAGCGGACGGAGCAGGCGAAAAGTGACTGAATAGTGGCGTGCCGGTGGCTGTCCGGTGTCGCTCCGCCGGGCGGAATTTGAAATTCAATCTTGGACGACCGTAAACTATCGCCGCTCCGTCAGCCTGTCAGATGTCCCGAATGGGACGCCGTCTGGGTCAGCTGACGCGTACACGTGATATCAAACCTTGTTGCAAGAGTCAGACAAGGCAAATTGAGTTCTCCAAGGGCAATCCACCGAAACCAGGCATCTGGTGTGCAAGGAGGTGGTCGATTGTGTTTCGGGGGCTTTTTGTTGAGGAAGAGTCGACGACATGCAACATGGAACTTGTTCCATTTTTTTTTCCTTCCTGACTCTGAGAAGTGAGAAGGTGCAACGCAAACAGCCAAACAGAAAAAACACAGCACCTCGTCCAGCGGCTCTCAGTGGTTGCTGTGGGTTCTCGCAGCAGCCAAGGCGCTAATCATCGCCCCTTGCGACGTCTACACAGGCGGCCAGCCCGCTGAGGTGCGTAAGTACCGTGGCTATACTTCTTGGCTGTCAAGGTACCTTCCACCCACTGTAATGCACGCTGGAGCTCCCAAGCCTAAGCCAAGAAGCAGAGGGATCACAGCAGGTGGAGGCAGCAGCCAATCACACAACACAGATAGCCCCCAGACCCCGCCGGTATCGCCGACCGTCCGTGCGCCATCGAGGCAGAGCAGGTGCTCTTGCACGTGATGGACCTTCCCCATGGCGCAGTCGCGGTTTGCCATTGGTTCTTCGCGTCAAATAACCTTATTCGCTGAGAAGGAGCCAATGGCGTCACCAGAGACTGTCGCAGCTGCCGTCATATCGTACGTCCTGCAGCGCGGCACTCTGTTTTCTGCAAGCTGCGATTCCGGGCTCCGTTCGGTTCCAGATCGATTGATGCTCCGTCTGGAGATGCCGTTCTGGCCTGTGGTTCGTCCCGTCGCTGGCCGTGGCGTAGGTAACTTTCGGTGTCAAACTCAGTGTTGTGCGACATCTGTCAGCCTGGACGGTGGTCCCTCGTTCGTCGTTTGTGTCACCGAAAAAAGCAAACGGATTCAACCGCAGCAATGAGAGTGGAAGAGGCAGATTCTGAGTCTCCCATCATTTGATGAGGCACGTCTCAATGGCCATGCATGTCTCTCTTCCCCGGGCTGGTCCTCTCCTCCCCGCTCCTTCCTTCCCTTCTCCCCGGCTGCCGTCCTTCGCTCTTTCCCTGGGGTAGGTAGTTACCGCTGATACGGCAGCAGCGCCTTCCCGTCCATCACAGAAAGTACCCATCACGAGAAGGAGGTACCTTCCTCCAAGTCAAGGTCGCGCCTTCCTGACCCACCTCGAGCCGGTCCCCACTTCCTCTGCGGTGCCCCACTCCCGTCCACGCCGCTTCCCTCCGCCAAGAGCTCCGCCAAGGTCATCGTCACCCGAGAACCACCACCAACCGGTCCGTCTCTGTCTTCTGTTTTCTTCTCCAAATTCTTGCGCTGGAACCGTCTCCAAAGCCAAGAAGCTCACCACCCTTGCGTACTTCTTTGCTCAGAGGTCTTTTGCCAAGTTGAAATCCCTTGTCTACCGTCTTGGTCAACGTCTTGATGCCCAATCATAGCCTTCCAGTCGGCACAATGACCGAATGCCTCGCTACTCACGCCTCTCACGCCTCCAGAGGCTGGGTGAAGGGGGGCGTGTTATCATCTTGCCCAGCCTTGGCGTCTCCCAGATTTTTTTTCCCAATCCTAGAAACCTTGTGAGCCACAAGTCTGAAGCTTCCGAAGGTTTCTAAACCTTCCCCGTCAGCCAAGTCTACCCATCGCGTCGCTGTCGTGCTATAAAGGTAGCCTTGTTCCCCGTTGCTCTCGACGTCCGGGTCTAGACTTCTCGTCAACACACTTCTCTCCACTGCGAAGAAGCTTCTTGGTTTTCAAAGCCAATCTTTCTTTTGACCTCACCCACCACACGAGGCCAATCTCTATCGCGACATCCATCGTTCTTTTTTTCAAGCGTTCCGACCACACACCTTCCCCGTACATGGAAACCAATTGAACCGCCTTTCCCGTCGTCGCCAGCAGAGACTCGACATCATGTCTGGTGACTACCCGAAGCACCCCTTCCTCCTGTCGGTCGACGAGACCGCAAAGGCCCTGGGAGTCGACGTCGACAAGGGATTGTCGTCCCAGCAGGTCCAGGAGGCTCAGCAAAAGTACCCCGAGAATGAGTTCGAAGTCGGCGATTCGGTGCCATGGTACACCATTCTCAGCAAGCAGATCTTCAATGCCATGGTGCTGGTCCTCATCTTCGCCATGATTCTAAGTTTCGCGATCAACGACTACATCGAGGGCGGCGTTCTCGCGTTCGTCATTGTCGCCAACGTCACCATCGGATTCTGGCAAGAGTATCGCGCTGAAAAGCGAATGGACGCGCTGCGCTCTCTGTCTGCACCCTCTGCCAATGTCTTGCGGGACGGCAAGACGCAGGTTATCCCCAAGTATGTACACCCATGCGCACGCGCGCACTTCCCCCACTTTGCCTTCTTGGCTTTCGGCCATCTTGGCTTCCTCTTGGCGCACGGCTGACCCGTGATACAGTGCTCAAGTCGTTCCCGGTGACATCATCCTGCTGAAGATGGGTGATACCGTGCCCGCAGATATGCGCATGTTCGAGGCTATGAACCTGTCCTGCGACGAGCAGTCCCTGACTGGTGAAGCCGCTCCCGTCGACAAGACCACCGAAGCCAACATTGTGGTCCCCGGCACCGAGAAGCCCGCCACCGAGGAGGGTGAAGTCGGCATTGGCGACCGTTTCAACATCTGCTATGCCACCACCATTATCCGAAAGGGCCGTGGTCGCGGCATTGTCATCGCTACTGGAATGCAGACCGAGGTCGGCAAGATCGCTGCCTCTACCCAGAAGAAGGTCCGCAAGCCTGGCCGCTCCATGAACTACAAGAAGTACGGCAAGCGTCAGCCTGTTGTCGGCCTTACGAAGCGTGTCTACGATGCTGTTGGCAAGTTCTTGGGTCTCACCGAGGGTACTCCTCTGCAGCGCAAGCTTGCTGCTCTGGCCTACCTGCTCTTCGGCTGTGCCATCATCTTGGCCATGATCGTCTTTGGTGCCCACAAGTTTGACGTTACTGGTGAAGTTATCATCTACGCCGTGTCGCTTGGTATTGCCATTATCCCCGAATCTCTTGTTGCGTAAGTCCTCCTGCCAGCCTTCGAAGAAACGTGTCTAACAATCCGACAGCGTCCTCACCATCACCATGGTTGTTGCCGTCACTGTCATGCGCAAGGCGAACGTCGTTGTCCGAGACTTGTCTGCCCTGGAAGCCCTTGGCGGTGTCACCAACATTTGCTCCGACAAGACCGGTACCCTTACTCAGGGTGCCATGATTGTTCGCAAGGCCTGGCTCCCCATGTCCCACACCTACACTGTCCGCGATTCCCAGAACCCCTCCGACCCTACCAAGGGCAAGGTCACCTACACCGAGTCCAAGGAGGAGGAGAAGATTGACGAAGCACCCAAGCGTGACTATGACCAGGAGCGTTCTGCTGCCGTTCTCAAGTTCGACGTCCCCGAGGAGAAGCTCCAGAACAAGCAGCCCGCCAAGGCACCCGAGCCTGAGGTTGATGCTGAGATGACTCCACCCCTGAAGGCCTTCCTTCTGTCCTCCGCTCTTTGCAACCTGGCCACCGTTCGATATGATGAGGACGAGGCCAAGTGGCAAACTACTGGCGAGCCTACCGAGATTGCGCTTCAAGTCTTTTCCCACCGTTTCAAGCTCGGCAAGAAGTTCCTTGAGGGCAAGGGCTGGCATCAATTGGCTGAGTTCCCCTTCGACAGTTCCATCAAGCGCATGTCAGTTATCTACGATATCCCCCACGACGATGAGACTGCCGACATCTGGGGCCACGACAACAGCCTCGTCTTCACCAAGGGCGCCGTTGAGCGTATCTTGGATCTTTGCACCCATCTCGGCTTTGGTGACGCTAAGCAGGAGCTTACTGAGGAGCTCAAGGGACAAGTTCTCGAGCAGATGAACAACCTTGCTTCTCAGGGCCAGCGTGTTCTTGCCATTGGCTACCGTGATTGGAACGGCAAGTTCACCACCAACCAGTCTACTGTCCCCACCGAAAAGGAAGAGGAGCTCCGCGGAGAGGTTGAGCAGGGCCTTACTTTGCTCGGTCTCGCCGGTATCTACGATCCTCCTCGCCGCGAGACCAAGCCGTCCATCGCCGAATGCTCCACTGCCGGTATCAAGGTTCACATGCTCACGGGTGACCACCCCGAGACTGCCAAGGCCATTGCGAAAGAAGTCGGCATCATCCCCAAGAACCTCGGCGTCCTACCCGATAGTATCGCCAAGGCTGTTGTTCAGAAGGCCACCGACTTTGACAAGATGACCGACGCTGAGATCGATGCTCTTGAGGAACTGCCTCTCGTCATCGCTCGTTGCGCTCCCGAGACCAAGACTCGCATGATTGACGCCCTCCGTCGTCGCAATGCCTTCATGGCCATGACTGGTGATGGTGTCAACGATGCCCCCTCCCTTGCTCGTGCTGATGTTGGTATTGCCATGGGTTCTGGTTCCGACGTCGCCAAGTCTGCCTCCAAGATCGTGCTCACTGACGACAAGTTCAACTCTATTGTCGCTGCCATTCGCCAGGGTCGTCGCATGTTCGACAACATCCAGAAATTCATCCTCCACTTGCTCAGCTCCAACGTTGGTGAAGTCATTCTCCTGGTGTGCGGTCTTGCCTTCCGGGACAGTGACTCTCTCTCTGTTTTCCCCATCTCGCCTCTCGAGATTCTCTGGATCAACATGGTTACCTCGTCCTTCCCTGCCTTTGGTCTCGGTCGTGAGGAAGCTGCCGCGGATGTCATGCGCAAGCCCCCTCAGAACAAGAAGCGCGGTGTCTTCACCAACCAGATTCTTGTGGATATGGTTGTCTACGGTATCATCATGGGCGCGCTGACCATGTGCACCTTCGTTATCATCGTCTGGGGAGCCAACGACGGCAACCTTGGTTCTGCTTGCAACAAGGAGTTCAGCGAGGCGTGCCGTCCTGTCTTCCGTGCCCGTGCTGCCGTCTTCGCCGAGCTTACTTGGATCATCCTCATCTCCGCCTGGGAGTTCAAGAACCTGCGCCGCTCCATGTTCCGCCTGAACCCTGAGGACCCGAGCAAGTTCCCCCTCTTCAAGGACCTCTACGCCAACAAGTTCCTCTTCTGGGCTGTTGTCCTCGGCGCTCTCTCTGTCTTCCCCGTTGTTTACATCCCCCAGCTTAACACCAAGTTGTTCAAGCACGTTGGCATCACCTGGGAGTGGGGCATCTCTGTCGGCTTCACCATCCTCTACGTCGTCGGTGTCGAGGCCTGGAAGTTCGTCAAGCGTACCTTCCACTTGCTCGAGGACCATAAGGTTGTCCGCGGCGCCTTCAGCCAGGGTGGTGAGGACGAGGGCCGCGACTTCAAGAAGACCATGACCATGTCCAGCTTCAAGAGTTGGGCCTCCTTCGGTCGCAAGGACACCGGCGAGTCCACAGGCCGCCGCAGCCGCTCCCAGTTGCGCACCAACACCAACCTGTCGGGCGACACCCGCACCGGCGAGGGCTCCCCCAACACCAGCGCGGACGACAAGGTCTGAATTATTTGAATTTTGAGATACCGAAACTGTATTTGTCGAGTTTGTGTCAAAGTTTTGTTGACATGTTTGTGCGAAACAAGAGTACATGATACCACTATCACGAAGATGATACGTTGCATGAGAAGAAGCTAGAAGCTAGAGTCATGATTCAACGGCTGATACCCAGAGGTGAAGGAGGGTATGTCGAGTTGAGAGATGAGGGGCAGTCGAGCGGGCCTTGAAGGGGCCTCGCATCATGACGTGAAGATTTGCATCGAGGTGGAGGAGGGAACTGGTTGTCTTGTCGTTTTAATAGGATGTACCTAATAATCAAATTCTGCCCATATAAGGTACTTGCCGTTGCCCATTCGCTGTTCGTCTGTGACAACAGTGTATCCCGTGTGCCTACTATCGTTGTCTCTCATATCTGAGGCTGGACAAAACCTATTCCCAGAGGAATTCCGCAATGCCTGCTACGCAAACCAGGGCGGGCTCAACATCGGATGTCGCACCCGACTTGATATCTTCATCAAATATATAAAGTACTGGATCTAATGTTTCTTCTTCCAACTTCTCACGGAGAACCGCAATCATAGCCACGAAGGATGTTGTTGGTTGCTGAAACGACAGTTCTAGACTTCGTCACCCAACCTAATCTGTGCCAAGGTTGAGGGACGCGGAATATCATTATCTCGATCTATTCGTCGCTTTTTTCGGTGTATTTTTTGCTCTTTTTGTGGTGAGAGAGGTGAGTGGCAAGGCCACATGCGGGCGCGGCGGCGCTGCCTAGGGTGCGGCTCCACGAGAGAGTCGACAGCATAGTCAGATTGTCCTGTTCGGAAGACAATCTGTATCAAACGGTTATTTAAAGCACTCTAATTTCTCTTTGGTAGGTGCGAAATTCCGTTGAGTCTTGCATTTATATTGGTGGCGGAGGTGCGATGTCATGGCTGTCTCTTGGCCTGTAGACCCGGCGGTGATTATTTCCGATGGCATATGCCAGCGCTAGAGGTCCCATCGAGGATGTATGACTATAGGTTTGGGAAAGGACGGAGTACATTTCCCATGTTATTTGGACGCCCCGTCAATTCGGGGCCCTGTCTGACTTTCTTTTGGGGTGGTCTGCCTGGGTTGATTGTGCCGCAGGCCTGCAGGGCGTCTACGGTCTGTTCGTCAGTCACACCAGGAGCCTTGTTTTTCAATTCCTCCAGCTGTTCTAATCTTGCGATAATTCAGGCGAGTGTGAAGCTTACAGAGTAATTCATTCATTGAAAGACACCAAAAATTACATTCAATCTGTACCGAAAGAACTTGTCGGCGTTTCTCAAAGCTTTGAGGTTGCTGTGCCGGCCACCCTGCTTCGGGCACTGCCTCATTAGCCACTCATGCATGATGCAGCACACGCTTCAATCCCTGAGTGGAAGTATCACAATCGATTGGTCGACAACCCTAGAAGACCGCAACAGCCGGTTATCTTCCAGCCTTGGTGATCACCTGACGCGGTGCAGCCTAGGCCTGCGGCCAAAGGCCCCCTTTGCATGCAGGGCATTCCAATTTGGCGCTTATCCACGTCGAAATTCATCTCCTCTCCAACTTTTTTATGCTCTGACATCGCTGGGTCTCGAACCTTGAGCCCTGGATAGCAAGCCGTAACCTGCGCTCAACACAATGGACCCAGTTTCAGCGTTCGGCCTGGCCGTCAACGTGTTGGCCGTCGTCGACTTCTCGAAGACTTTCCTCGAGACTCTGGGGCAAATCAAAGATTCTGGTTCCTCGGCTGCGACACAAAATATTGTGAGCATCAGTCGCAGCCTTCAGGCATCAAACGCAAATATTACACTTCACCCGCTGGTTGATGGTGATGATAAGGTGAGGAGCCCCACCGTACCTTTATTCCAGCCAAGCTAAGTATTATATTAGGTTTTCAAGGACCTCGTCGAGGAATGCCAGAGCCTTTCCGAGGAGTTGATACGCCTCGCAGACGAACTTTCCGTCACAAGCTCGAGTGCGCTGGTGACGAGGGTCAAGGTCACAGCTCGTACAATGTGGAGCCACAGCAAGATCGAAGCGAAGAAAACTCGACTGGAAGCAATTCGTGCACAGCTACTATTCGATATTGTTGTACCCATAGCCGGAAGAGTCAACACCATCCCCGACAAGGCTGCCATTAACACTCAGACTCGGACTCTTCTGAGCGAGATAAGGGCAGGTGCAGACGCAAGCGACGCCATGGAGAAGCGACTTCGCGCCTTCCACGAAGAGTACGCTGCCGTTCAGGACAAGCGGCACGTTGAAATCGTCTCTCTTCTTCATGAGATACGTGACGTGAAACCGCGACTTGGCACCTTCCCAATGAGAGACAGTGATCGCAAAACAAGGGATTTGGTCTTAAATGACCTACTGGCTTCTCTCTACTTCCGTCAAGAATATGACCGATTTCACGACATCAACTCTGCTCATAAAGGTACTTTCGAGTGGATTTTCAGGGATTCTCCCTCAGCAGCAAATAAGGCAACCTGGTCAAACTTTGACGACTGGCTGCGACACCATGCCGGAATCTACTGGATTTCAGGAAAGGCCGGGTCGGGAAAGTCCACGCTGATGAAACTTCTGGGTACGGATGAGCGAAGTCGCGCTGCTCTCCTCAAATGGAGCGTTGGTAGCCGTCTGCTAATCCTCTCATTCTACTTCTGGAGCCCTGGTACGCCGTTACAGAAGTCGTTGGAAGGGCTACTCAGGTCCATCATTGCCCAAGCTCTCAAGGCCTGCCCCGAGCTGGCCGAAAAGATATTCCCGGATCGCTTCGAACACCGTATCAGCGACCGTCATTGCCCGACAATGCAACAGCTTACACGAGCGTTTGCCTCCTTAACAGCTCCAGGTTTGGTAGACGACTCCCAGGTTCCAATAAAGCTAGCCCTCTTCATCGACGGTCTTGATGAGTTTGACGCTGGTTCAATGAGCCATGCGGAGCTAGCTGCAATACTCACAGCAGCTAAGAATTCATCATCATTTAAAGCTGTTTTATCCAGCCGGCCTGAGAACGCATTTGAGGACGCGTTCGTAGACTGTCCCAACCTGAGACTGCACCTTCTCACTCACAATGACGTTGTCAAATATGTGAACGAGAACCTTCGCGCCCACCCTCGGATGATCCAGCTTGAATCTCAGGCCCCAGATAAGACAGCCAGTCTTGTTGAGGAAATTGTGGGAGCCGCCCAGGGAGTGTTTCTTTGGGTGAGAGTCGTCGTCAGATCACTTTTAGAGGGCCTACAGAATCATGACGACATAGGTACCTTGGTCGAGAGACTTCATGAACTACCCACCGACCTGGAGGATCTATTTCGACTCATGCTTCAGCGAGTTCCGCACAGGTATAAGCAAGCGATGTCGAAGATATTCCAGCTTTTGAGTGTCTGAGCTCGACTCTAATCTTCAAGAACAAATGCTTGACACAGAGATAGTGCCATTGACCGCTTTGGGCCTGAAATTCGCGATTCTCGAATCAAAGGAGGTCATGGAAGCCCAGATTGGCCAGCTCACTGCAGAAAAGGCATTTCAGGAAATTCGGTCTATCGACGCAAAGTTGAAAACTTGTTGCTCTGGCTTGGTTGAGCTTAGAGCACCTCTTGAGAAAGCCTATTACAATCCTTACCTGAGTTCCATAATGGAGTCCACCATTGCCCTCAAGAATGAAGCAGATGACTGGGAGGATTCAGAGCTACATTTCATACACCGGTCTGTGAAAGAGTACATATCAAAAGAGGATGTGTGGCAAGAAATCCTTCAACAGACGGATCATGAAGGGTTCCATGCCGGCACTGCTTTCCTCCAAAGTCTGGCCATGCAGGCCAAAGCATGTTCCTACGAAGTCAACAAATGTCGTTCTTGGAACGGATTGCCATGGGACCTGGTGGCAACAGCCCTCAGGATTGCTCGCACTCTGGAAGACGAGCGTGGAACGGATCAGCTAGACATGCTAAATGCTTTGGAGACAGCGCTGACGAAAAGGTGTGGGCTGGACTGGTGGGATACCTACCAAGAGGACTATATCAGGCCCATTACCTGGCACGACAACTTCTTTTCGTTTGCAGTTCGTTACGGTCTAAGGCGTTATGTTCAAGCCAGGCTTAAGATCCACGGTCGGCAATCTATTGATAAACCAGGTCGACCACTTCTGGATTATGCTTGTAGACCAAAACCCTCATATGACGTGTGGTTAAGAGGTAGGGACTTTCGAGTTGTCGAAGCTCTCTTACAACACGGCGCGGATCCAAATGAGAAATTCAACGGCTTCAGTCCTTGGCAAAATGCGTGGCACGAGGCATGGTACTGGCATCTGACACCTGAACTGTCACGAGTCCTAGAGACTTTATCAGCATATGGGGCAGACCCAAACGCATATATAGAAGACTACAAGGGTTTCTCGAAACGTGTCACGGAGAGGAGTCGTCTTTCAGTTCTTCTAGTCGCCCTGCAGGTGCGTGCAAGAAGCTCGGAAGACGGCGCTGGTAACGCCAAAGAGAACGCCATCGGCAAAGGAACAATGAGCAGAATCATAAGACAATTAAAGAAGAAAGGCGCGAAGGTTCGGGAGTGGAGAGAAGTGGATGGGGTCTTCGTGCGTCAGAACTCTGGCAGCTGGAGTGAACGGGGAAAAGCTCCACAAGCAAAAACACAGTGCACTCTGAAAGATTCGATATGAGGTTGTGGTTTGGGTTTAATTTTGGGGACTTTGCTATTCAAGCTAAAGCTATCATCCCACCTTGGTTTGGCGAGAACAGCCTAATTACAGCATGAATTCATGACCGCCGAAAGGGCAGCAGGCGAGGTTTGACCAAAACACTGAAAGCTTTCAATAGGTAGGAAGAAATGATTCTTAAGGTTCTCAATATCAATTAATCTTGCATTAAAAATGTGGAGGCGTCAGTACTTGAAATCTGCCTCTGGAATGCGCTGCCTTTCTACTCGTCTCAGTTGGGCTTCCGGCTGCTCCCCTGATCAATTTCTTCACATTTACAGGTTGATATCTCAATTTACAATATAGATACTTTGGTCTTGCGGGTCTTCCTAAAGATATAATCTAGATGCTATCTATGATGCAATGGATCATTATAATGTACATTGTCGGGAAAACAGAAACAACTAGCATGGCCAACGTCTCATTGACCACATCAAGCAGCAAGCTGGAACTGAGCACGTTGCTTATTAAAGGCCGTTGTTAACAAACATAAGTCGATTTTTCCTACATCCCAATTTGCCAATCGCAGTGACGCCTAACATCACCTGACATGTCTTATCTTATCTGAGTACTCTGACTCGTTAACGGGCGGCACTAAGGAGGAATTGCCCGAAAGTGCGCGCGTACTGTTGCGAGTATTTCGGAAAACAGAGTACGGACTAAGCGGATTTCAGAGCCTATGCAAAATAACCCGGAGCACTCATGCATGTATTTGGTTAGTTGTTGGCCAATTCGCGTTTCAGTTGGGAACTGCTTACGACTACGAAAGGTTACCATAGTTGAGGAAGCCTAGCAGACCTTTTGTTCCCTGACTCAAGTTCATCCCTCACCCAGGCGTCTTTCGGCGTTGCCCAAGCTTCGAACGTAAGTCATGATCATATGTAGGTCCAATTGTGCCCGCCGGATAAATAGTATAGTCTAAAATTGCGCCTAGCCGTAGACCATTCGTTCGGAGAGAAACCGCTGACCCACAATGATTATCTTGCGCATGATAAAGGGTAGACACTACTGAAAGCATCTTGCGATTTAACTCAATCGAGGCCCCAGCATCCTCCTTCCAAAAGCACTCCGAAAGGGGAAACCTCTCCGTGTGTTAACTCCCGATGGCAACTTCCGACGCCATGAGATCTAGCAGCCACGGACAAGGTGTGCCGTGACCGCTCTCATTAAGCTTGACAGATAAGTATATAAGAGGAGCGACTTCCTCGCCCGTAAGCGAGAACGAGCGATCAGGCTGCACGGCTCTGACAACTCTCTGAGAAACAGGATCTCCAACGAAAGCCCATCCCTCACAAAGAACAATGTACTCCCAAAGTCTCCTCTTCCTCCTCCTCGCTGTTCCCTTTACAGCTGCGGTTCCTGTCGCCGAGCAGAAGCACAATGGGAAGCCCATCCAGTATGTTTCTTTTCTTCACCCTGTTTTTATCCCGCCCGTACCGTTCTAATGGAGTTGCTGGATCTTCCATCGCTCTCCATTAACCAAGATGACTTAAATCTAACATCGTGCCAGCGTGAAAGTTCCCGGCATGGGTACGGGCACCTATTATCCGGGAGATCACGGCCATAGCGGAAATGTGGCTGTGTATAATCTTGCCCACTATGGCAATGTCAACGGCCCCAAGAAGGGGGGTAAACCGTGAATAAGACAGACTATGTCCAAATGGAGGGCTACAGTCTATGGGCTAAATATGAGGTTGCCAATCAAGTACAGAGCAGATACAGACAAAAGAGCAAACTTCCTATCAAACTGCCTTTCGCCTGAGTCTTTCAAGTATCTAAATGCCGGTTTCGTAAACCAGCATTTGTCGGCGTTCACTGATCAACTTGCATTTGCTGGCCTTGAGAAGTCAGGGAATGCTTTAACACGCACGACGTCCTACAACCCAGAACCGTTAGTGGAAACTGCATCCCAGGTGATCGAGGCATTCTTCGGCAGAAAATATCTCCCAAACCTGAGGTAACTTATGTATTCTAAACGATTTTAACGCCAGACTTCAACTGGGTTGTGGTTGTCAAAGCTGTATTTGCTTCTGGATCCAATACGTAGGGCATCACCTACGGTAAGATAAAGGATGCAATTAAGATACACCTGTCATCGATCCATGGATAGCATCTGTCTTATCAAGCCCCGTCAAGTAGCTTTGACATCCATGGATCTCGGTCCACGGATGAAAAAACGAAAAGTGGACCGGACTCCAATTGACTTTGGCTGAGTAATCGTCACCCGCGCATCATTATGTTGCGAAATATCACGCTTGAGGTAGCAAAAAGGCAAAAGAAACAGATCACAATGGTTTGTGAACTGGGATGGACGGGCAGGTGATCGAAACCTGGACCTTCCGCAGACATCGCTGAGGATATGCAAAGCGGACGCTCTACCACTGAGCTACACGCCCATTTCTAAGGTGATGGCTTCGATGGAGCATCGGAACCGGTTGGGAAATCCGCGCCCAATTGGAGATCAAGGTGCTGGCTTTGAGGGCTGCAGGCGAGTCTGAATTCGGCCGGGGAAATGGTTCTGTGGATTCCGCGGGTGGACTCGCGACGCAGTGGAATGGAACCCCTCACTTTGTGCTCCCCCACTTGGTGCAAGCGCAGAGAATGGGAGCGGAAAGCAATGAGGAGTTGCGGCTTTGCAAGATGCCCTAGACCCAGCGGTACTTAGTGTCTGAATTCTGCCTTACGCTCAACAAATCACACCGAGCGGGGCTCAGCCCCGTTACTCCCCTTGGTGTAGTTGGTTTATCACGTTCGACTGTAATGGTATCATTGTCATCGAAAGGTCTCTAGTTCGATTCTGGAAGGGGAGAACCAGTTCTTTTGCATTTTTGCTGACTTGGTTCTCAACTTCCTCCGCTGTTGGTCTTCGATGACCATTCAACACTTTTGTCGTCTAGCACATGCGACCGGGACGGTCCGATTGACTTTGCAATGGTCTCAAACTCAATTGCCCCTCATTCTCGCTGGCGGTGTGACAGTGGCATCTATCATGTTTCCGCTCTCATTCCTGAAGTTCTGGGCGAAGTATTGTACTCAGACATCTCTGCCACTTTCATTCCAATCTCTTTGCCCCATCCCGCCGTCAACGTCGACCCCCTCTTTTCTGGCATCCTTTACAGCTTGCCTTGCCTCTTGCTGCTCTTGCTTCTTCCTGCTCATCATTAGCGACATCCTGGGATCCTGTAGTCGCCAAGTAAACTCACTTCTCGAGACCACTTGCGTAATCGTCAAACTGCACGTCCTGCCCGGGGACCTTCTGCGCCCCGCTCTTCCGATCGACAGCATCCGCAACCTTGCCTTCCGCCAGAGTCTCCATCTGCTCGGCCTCGACGTTCGGGTTCTCCGGCCCTTGGCTGGCGCCTGTGCTGCTGTATGCCGTGTTGCGCTGCTCCGTGGCATCGACGGGGCCAGAGGAATGCACACCCTGTCCTAGGGAGCTAGGCACCGCATCGTCGGCGGACCGCGACTGCGACTGTGGGAATGGCGTGCGGCCGAGGACTGCATCGCGGGCGCTCGATTCGCTTTGCTGTGCAGCTGCATTCTCGGCAGGATTACGGGATGTTGGGTTCGCTGAAGTGGTGTAGGCCTCGGCCTTGGGTGGTTGAGATGGTGCTGCGGATGACATCGTAATGGGCTGTCAGTGCTAATGTCTTACTAGGTTCTTAATGATTGAGTTCTTGGCTTAAGATATGAAAGTCTTGAGAAGATGACCAAAGCACATATATTCAGAATGAATCGCTGAAGACATGACGCTGGTGCAGTATAACTTGCGAAAGCTGCGCTCATATCAGTGACAGATCGATGACGTCGGCGGGCGCGCGATTTCAGATCGGCGCTTGTTCGCATGGGCAGATCTGAATGACAGCGGCCACATCCCCAAGGCCGGGCCCATCATCGTCATCGCGGGCCACAATCAATTGTTCTTCTTTATCAGCAGCAATTGTCATGAAATCTCAGCAAGGTGAGTAGATACGGAGCCCAGGGGCTAGCCACACTCCAGCCACCATGTTCTTGAGCCACGACGCCCAAGACTCCCAAGTTGCTGTCGACCCCGCGCACATGGCAAGCAATGCACATTCCAATCTTCAACGAGTCGCGTTACTCAGAATTGAGACGAAATATCTCCGCATCCCGAGCAAATCCCTTTGACAGTATTGGTCAGCCGTCGCGGGGTCACTCGCGGCTCGCGATCAGTCCCAAAATTGCGCCACCGGCGGCACCCATGATCCCTGGTTCTTGCAAACAACTCGCATCTGATTGCTCGGTATCCCAACATGCCTTTCGAAACAATTGCCTTGCCATTGGTTCCCCGCATCGTGATACTTTGGCCAAGACCAACGATGCGGCGAGATGGAGGGTCGCGGGCCGGGTTGACGGCTCCGACTCGGCGTGGACATGTGCCGCCGAGTTCCGCTGGGCTCGTTTTCGCCCATGATGATAGATGCTGAAGACAGCTATTGGTGCCAAGGTCTGATGTGTAGCCATGACAAAATCTAAGTTGCATATCGCGCGATATCGCGTAAACTCGTCCCAAGTCTGAGCAATGCCGCGGCGGATATGGTGTGGGAGCGACTGCTGTTGTTTATAAGGAATGGAAAGCGCCCGTTCTTCTGCGCGAGGCGGTTGCAACCTTAATATTGATACAGCCAATTTCAGCTCTCGCATTATTGACAATGGCGCCGGCAGCTACAGCGACAGCTCAGAAGCCCGAAGAGGCTCCCTCGAAGACCATTCCCATCAAGGAGTCTTTGGCCGTCCAGAATCCTCAACTCCAAGAGGAGGAGCTTCCAAAGGTTCTCACTGGTCACAAAGAGCCCTTAAAGCTGAGTGGCGCATTGGATAAGTACGAGCACTTCGACAGCACCCCAATCATCGGTCGCGAATTCCCCAGTCTCGACATCAAGGAGCTCCTCAGAGCGCCCAACTCCGATGACCTCATTCGCGATCTCGCCATCACCAGTAGGTACTCCTTCCATCCACAAGCCCTCGTACTAATCGTTACAGTTTCACAACGTGGTGTTGTGTTCTTCCGAAAGCAGGACAACATCGACAACGACCTCCAGAAGGAACTTGTCCAGCGACTCGGCGAGCTTTCGGGCAAGCCGGCTACATCCAAGCTCCACATCCATCCCGTTAACAATGCTGCTCGAGGAAACGACAAGGACGACGAGATCAGCGTCATCTCATCCGCGAACGCGAAGAAGCTGTCCCTGTACAAGTACCTGAACTACAACAAGAAGCAGACCCAGAGGACGCAATGGCACTCCGACATCACCTTCGAACCTGTTCCAAGTGACTACGCCCTGTTACGGCTTACCCAACTTCCAAAGACGGGAGGAGGTATGTTGTATCCCACTTTCGCTCACCGACTGCGGTCTTTACTAACAGATTCCTAGACACCCTCTGGGCATCAGGCTATGAGGTGTACGATCGCATCTCTAAACCTCTGCAGAAGTTCCTCGAAACCTTGACGGCAACATACGCACAGCCGGGATTCAAACAAGCCGCTGACAACAACGGGTTCAAGCTCTTCTCTTCCGAGCGCGGTGCCCCCGAGAACGTCGGTGAGATCCTCGAGGCCATACACCCAGTGATCCGCACAAACCCCGTGACCGGATGGAAGAGCGTCTTCGCCTTTGGTCATCACGTTGAGAAGATCAATGGTCTGTCAGAGGATGAATCAAAACACTTTCTGGACTGGTTCGTGCAGCTCGTGTTGGAGAACCACGACCTCCAAGTTAGGCACCGCTGGCAGAATGTCAACGACGTAGCAATCTGGGATAATCGCTCGGTGTACCACGCTGCTACGCCCGACTACCTCGAAGGAGATTATGGCGAGAGGTCTGGCTCAAGGAGTGTTAGTCTTGGAGAGAGACCATACCTTGACCCGCAAAGTTTGAGCAGGCGAGAGGCTCTGCGTGCTGAGGCTCTTGCTAAGGAGACTGGGGCCTGAAGCCTTCACGTAGGGTAGTACAATTATCAACAACTACGCTACTAGTAATTGGATACTTAGATAAATACATTTGTATTAAAGAGGTGCAGTAAGGAAGTGCTGGTGATAGTGTTGTGGACAACATCAGTCAGGCTCAATAGTTGAAGTTCAAGCACAATGGCTAGTATCCCTTCGTGATTCTGTGATCCAATTGCCCTTCGTCTAGTCCTCACTCCTCTTCAGGTTTCTTATCTATGAGCGGCCGTAACATCTTGACAAACCCTACCCATATTGCCAGCGAGAAAAGCGGAAAGATACCCAGGATGTACAGCGCAAAGCTGTATCCCCTTTCCTGCGCTATCCAGCCTCCCAACGAATGCGAGATAGATGCACCCGTCTGGCGGGTGATACCGCCGACGACACCAAAAGCCAAGTTAACCCGCCCTGTCCCAGCCATCATGACGGCCAACAGTCCGGGTATTGCGACGCCCTGAATACCTGCACCAACACCATCGAGGATCTGTACAGGCCAAACGCCCCAGCTCTTGATCACCCGGCCGGCGACGGCGGCACGGATAGGCAAGACAGCATAGGATATTAGAATGGCAAACCAGTAACCGGAGCGGCCAGCGAGCCACGCCGTCAGGAATGACATGATGATCATGGTACCCTGTGCAATGATGACAGTAAGACCAGTGGTTCCGGCGG